TAAAAGCGAAATACCACTCACGCATCATCACAAAATCTCCAGAACTGTAAAGCCTACAAACTTGAAATCTGGCACATATTTTCCTCTTAGCTTCTAGGGGCTCGCTAAGAAAGGATCTTTCCAAATGACCATCAGACCATTAGTATTTCCTATATTATTATTATTATTATTATTAACACACTCTGATGCTAAGGAGTTCTACTTCCCCTCCCCACCCGAAAAGAAATCTGCTCCAAATGCAAAACACAAGCAGAGGAGAGGAGTTTCAGTTTCAGTTTCACAGCACCAAGCAGCTTTAGTACAGAACAGTTGAGCTCAGCCATGCCCAGGCTCCTTGCTGTCTCCTTGCTCACACAGCAAATGCTTTTTCAGTTTCCAAACAGCCTTCAATTCTCTCACACACTGATAGGACGCTAGCCAGATGAATCCCGGTGGATGCTGGTAGGCAAAGGCAGATGTTTTTTCCCCTTACTTTCCTCCCCAGAAACTATGCCCGACCACATAGTTTTGTAGCGAAGCATGGGTATTGAACTAGTGTACCAGTGCTATACTAGCACTGATGATGTTACCTAGTTAGGGTAATGAAATGTCTGCAAGGAAACAAGCAAACTCAGAGAACACCCAGGACCCCTTGTTCTTCATATGTTTTAGCCTCCAGACCCCTTAATCGTCTTTGTTGCTCTTCTCTGCATTCTTTCCAGAGTCTCAATCTCTTTTTTTTGTATCGTGGTGACCAGAACTGGATGCAGCATTCTACGCTTGGTCTCGTAATATAAAGCGGTACTAATTTCTCCTATCTCTGCTTGGGCAGTGAGAATTCTGCTTTTTTTTTATCCCTCCCCCCCAAAATAATAATACAGTATTTGATTTCTATTCTGTGTTTGGATTCCAACGTGGGAAGAACAGGGATGCTAATCTCTTCATTGGGAAGAGATCCCTATTCGGAAAACTGCAGTGGTGGTGAAGAAAAGGGGAAGGGGATCGAGGCTTTCTTTCCACCCACTCTGGCCCCTCCCTTCCTTGTGCAGCAGCAAATTAAAAATTAATTGCAGGATGCAACTCCCTCACTTTTTCTTTCTCTTTCTCTCCCTTGTGCTTCAGCCTTGGGGTAGTGGGCAATAAGACAGGGGAAAAGTTGGTTTTCTTGTTCTCCTGCGGAGTTGCAATTGTTTACCTGTAGCAAAACCCCAACCTCTCTGAATGCTGCCCCTTCCTCATGAAAATATAGATCGCTGAAACAAAGGAATTGTGAGGGAGGGGAGAATAGAAGCAGGTTGAATGAAATGCGGGAAGGGAAAAGGAGAGGAGGAAGAGAAGGGAAGGGAAAAGGAGAAGAGGAAGGGAAGGGGAAAGGAGGAAGGGGAAGGGGAAGGACAGGAGGAAGCAAAGGACAGGAGGAAGGAAAGAGAAGCGGAAGGAGAGGTGGAAGGGAAGGGAAAAGGAGAGGAGGAAGCAAAGGACAGGAGGAAGGAAAGAGAAGGGGA